CAGGCACCATGCCAGAGAGTGGCCAGCAAGAGGAAACAAGCTGTGATACCAGCAGCTGCACTGAGGCCCAGTTTACCTTCCCTTGTGCCCTTGGCTGGGGACAGGCACGGCCTGGCACCTGTATTCCTGTGCCAATAGGCCCAGCCAGTGTGAAAACTCTTGGTGACGGTAGTGGATGATGCAGGTGTTGAGCAGCACAGCAGCCGAGAGGTCAATGGCTGTGACCTAGAGCAGGGAAAGGGCCAGGTGGCAAAAAACTCATGCCAGGAGCCAAACCAGCCACCCCCAGGGGACAGAGTGTGCCCAGTGCTTGCCCACCTGCACACTGGTCTTCAGGGAGTTGAGGCACACGATGCGCTGGCGGCTCTGGGAGAGGAGAAGGCCATCTGGGGGGACAGAGGAGCACAAATGAGGGGTGGCAGAGGGCAGTGATGGCAGCCCTGTCCCATCGGTGCCCTCCTGGCTACTTGCCCTCCAGCTGGAGGTCTACACTCATTTGGTCCAGGTCTGAGGAGGGTGTGAAGTTGCGCAGTGGGATTTGCTCCTCTTCACGCTGATATAGAAACTGCAGCAGCTTCAGGCTCCAGGTGAGGTGCCTGGAAGACACAGGGAGTCACTGCCAGGGGGGAGCTGCACTGTCATGTCCTCCATCTCCCTGTCTCTCATCACCAGCTGACCAGCATGCTGGCATGGACAAAGACAGCAGCCCAGCTGCAGCACAGCCCAGTGCTCTCATCCCATCGCCTGAGGATCCTGTCAGCTGTCCTACTGGACAAGCAGCTCACGTGCCTTCCTCCCTCCCCAAGAGCCCAGCCCCAGGCCCAGCTCAGTCCTTCCCACTGGAGTGGGCTCTAGGACTCACTCTCTGCAGTCTAGCAGAGCCAAGGGATGAGAAGGGAATGGCACAGTTGTCCCCAGAGCCATGTCCCCAGCATTACTTTGGACTCGGACAGCCTGCCCCTCACCTCTTCTGGCTGTTCATGGACAGCACCATGCTGGTGTTCTCCAGCTTCATCTCCACCCTCCTGGGGATGAGCTTCAGTGTGTCCCTGCTCAGCACAGACAGGGATTTCGAGGGCTCCCCTGGGCCTGGAGAAGGACAGAGAGAGTCACGGGAAGAACTTGCCCAAACCCCCACACTCAGGAGCAGGAGGGAGAGATCCCACAGCCAAATCCCTCTGGCTCCAGTGCAACTATGGGGGCCAGAAGCCCCTGCCCTGCCCCAAGCGTGTTCCTGTCCTTGTCCTCACCAGTGCTGGGCTCTTCCCCCACGCTGCTGTGCTGTGCCCCAGCAGTGACGTGGTGCAGGAGGGGGCTGCAGAAGAGCCCCTCGTGCAGCTCTGCCTGCAGCGTGCGGACGCAGAGCCGGACGCCCGCCAGCCGCCGCTCGCTGCTGATCTCCAGGGAGAGGGAGAGTGCCAGGGCCAGCTCTGCCAGGCACGTGTCATCCTGTGACAGGGGACACGACAAGGAGCACACAGGGAGTCACACAGTGCCCTCCTCCCAGTGCGTGCTGCAGGTGGAGAGCTGGGCACAGCAGAGAGCCCAGCACCTGGCAGCACCACCCAGCCCCAGGGACACCCTGGGACAGGTCCTCAGCGTGTCCCAGAGACCAGTGCCCAGGTTCCAAGTGGGGAATTTCTCCCTCCTCCAGCACTCACCAGCTGGCTGCTCCGGAGGACTTTGCTGTTCACCTTTGTCAGGCTCACCTCGCACGTCAGGCTGGGGAGAGCAGAGAACAGGAGGAGGATGTAGGTCTTGCTGCTGCCAAAACAAGTTCCTGCCCTCTTTCCTGTGGGACACAGGGACCCCCAAGTCCCTGCTCCAAGTGCTCCCAAAAGCAGAGCATGCCCTAACTCCATGCACGCCACATTATTTAGAGAACACACAACTCAAGCTTCCTGTGACAGGAAAAGGAACCAGGCCAGCCTCAGAGGAGGTTAATGCGTCACACCACAGGTGACATGGGATGCTGCTGAGTGGGACAGAGAGAGGACAGACACACGGCTGGGGTCAGAGGAGTTTCCCTGCCCTGGAAGCAGACAGGGGTACGAGCACAGCATTACCTCTTCCCATTGCCATTCAGGAGGAGACGTGTTTGGCTGGCCTGGATGTGCCAGAGGGACTCTGAGGTGGCCACGTGCAGAACCATGATGTTGATGGAATCCATGTGGATGGAAAAGAGCTGGGGGGAAGGTGCTGCTGTGAGGGATATCCAACAGCAGCGCAGCCCACAGCAGCCTCTCACCGAGCCAGTGCCTCACCTGGCTAAGGAGCCTCAGCAGGGAGGGTTTAAGGGTCAGGTCTGTCCTGCTTTCATTTCCATCAGCTTCCCTGGGAGCCTCTGGGACAGATGGCTGGAGCCCAGGGCCTTTCTGGAGATCCGTGCGGACTCGCACCTCGCCAAAACACAGCTCGAAGTAGCGCCTGGGGACAAACAGCACAGGCAGCTCTGACCAGAGCTTGAACTGGGCACACCTGGCCCTGGCACCAGGGATTTCCCCCACCCCAGGGACGAGCAGGACCAGCACAAGGGCACCCACAAGACACTGTCACCTCCAAGCGTGGGTCACTCCCTCACAGAGCTGACCACAGGGCAATAAGGATGGCAGAAAGGAGAAAAGGCAGCAGGATGGCAAGCAGGGCGAGGGGTGAGCCAGACCCCCCAGGGGAGCAGGCAGGGAGCTGGGGTGGGGGCACGTACGGCAGCTCCCGGCTCAGTTTGCTGGAGATCCAGACGTTGTCGATCTCCTGTAAGGACACACAGGTAGGTCAGAGGAGAAACAACTTGGCTCTGCCTTGTGATGCTCATCTCAACAACCCCACTCCACTCCCAGTGCCTGGGACCATGCAAGGAGCGGCTAAAACCCCAAGTCTGGCCATAGGAGGGACTGGCACCAGCCATGGGGTTGCTCAACAGGAGAGTGGCTCCACGGATTTGCTGCCAGCCTGGAAGTGACAGCAACCACACTCCCTGCCTTGTCTGGCAGTGACCACCCCTTGCCCAGGTACCCACCACAGTCTGCTGCTCCCGCTGGAACTTGAGGCTGATGTTCTGGGCCCAGAAGAAGCCAAAGGAGCCGATCTTCAGCTCTGCATGAAGCTTCTGCCGGCACCAGGTGACAGCCAGGCGACATGCCAGCCATCTGTGGGGACAGGAGGAAGGCCAGGGTCAGCCTCCCCACTGAGGTTGGGGTCTTGCGATGCTCTTTGTCCTTTGAGCACCAGCTCCAGCACGCACAGCTGGATAGGAGCTCCCGGGACTCACGGTGGGGAACAAACCCTGCAGGACCACCCCCAACAATCCCTGACCGCCCCCTCCCACGACCAGAGGCCTCCACACCCCGCTGGCACCTGATGCCCACCCCTGTGAGCTCCTCTGAACTTTTCCAAGCCCCCAGGCCTCTGACACCAAGCTCTACAACCCCCAATCCCCTGCAGGCTCCTCCCCACAGCTGTCTCCCAGCCCTATGATCCCCCCAAATTCCTGACACTCCTCCAAGCCCTCCTTCTCCCCCCTACCCTCTGCTTCCCTCCCCCCAGACCCCCAACACCTCCCCTCAGTCCCACGGGGACAGCGGCACGGGACCCCTGACACCACCCCAACCCCCCTTGCGGGACAGCGGCGGGGACACGGGGCACGGGGACACCGGCATGGGGGCACGGGGACAGCGGCACGGGGACACGGGGACGGGGAAAGCGGGGATACCGGCATGGGGACACGGGCACACAGCGACAGCGGCACGGGGCATGGGGACAGCGGCGTGGGGACACGTGGACAGGGAGATGGGGACACAGGGACAGCGGCACGGGGACACGGGGACAGCAGGGGCACCGGCACAGGGACACGGGGACAGCGGGGATGGGGACACAGGGACAGAAGGAATGGGGACACAGGGACAGTGGGGACACGGGGATGGGGACACAGGGAACACTGGGATGGGGACACAGGGACAGAGGGGACACCAGCATGGGGACACGGGGACAGCAGGACACCAGGATGGGAACAGAGGGGACAGCGAGATAAGGACACAGGGACAGCGGGGACCCCGGGATGGGGACATGGGGATGGGGACACAGGGACACCAGGGACAGAGGGACAGCAGGGACACCGGGATGGGAACAGAGGAAGACCGGGGGATACAGGGATGGGGACACAGGGACAGCAGGACCGCACCGGCATCAGGACAGCGGGGACACCGCGGGGACACCGGCATGGGGACACGGGGACGGGGACACAGCGACAGTGGCACGGGGCATGGCGATAGCGGGGATGGGGACACAGGGACAGCGGGGACACGGGGATGCGGACACAGCGACAACGGCACGGGACACGGGGACAGCAGGGACACCGGCATGGGGACACAGGGACAGCGGGGACACAGGAATAGGGACACAGGGACAGAGGGGACACCGGCATGGGGACACAGGGACACCGGGATGGGGACACGGGACAGAGGGAATGGGGACATAGGGACAGTGGGGACATGGGGATGGGGACACAGGGACACCAGGGACAGAGGGACAGCAGGGACACCGGGATGGGAACAGAGGAAGACCGGGGGATACAGGGATGGGGACACAGGGACAGCAGGACCGCACCGGCATCAGGACAGCGGGGACACCGGGATGGGGACAGGGATGCACTGCAGTGGCACAAGCATGGAGACAGCAGAAACAACAGGATGGCATGGGCATGGGCAGAGGGGTGACACCAGGGCAACACCAGCGTGGGGACAGTGGGGACACTGGGGCAGCACTAGGATGGGGAGACAAATGACACCCGGGCACCACCAGGATGGGGAGAGGAGTGACACTGGTTTGGCACTGGGATGGAGTGAGGTGGGTGACACAGCAGGTCCAGCACTGAAATGGAGTGAGGAGCAGAGGGTGTGACACCAGGTCTGGCACTGGGATGGGGCAAGTGCAGATGACACCAGGTCTGGCCCCCAGTGCCAGAAATCCCCTGCATCCCCCACACAAACAGTAACACCACAGGGCAGAGTTCAGCACTTTTATGGCCCCACGTCCTTGCAGGGCACGAGGGGCAGTTTGGGGTACAGCCAGGGGTACAGCTCCCAGGGACAGCAGTCCTTTAAGGGCAGGGTCCTTGGACAGAACGGGCTGCAAAGGGACAGGGTGGGAGCTTGGGAATTTGTTCTGGATCAGGTCTGGATGCTGGGCTTGGCTTTGTGCTAATTTGGGATGTTCGGACCTGTTTTGTGCCGATCTAGGATGTTTGGCTCTGTTGTGGGTACGTTGGGATCTGCTCTGTAGTGCTTTTAGGATGTTGGGAGCTGCTTTGGGTTTTTAGGATGTTGGGAGCTGCTTTGGGTCAGGTCTGGACGCTGGGGCTTGTTTAGTGTCAGATTTGGGGCAATGGAATCTGCTCCAGTTTGAATTCAGGACATCGGGATCTGCTTTGTGCTGGGGCCCTGTGTCAGCAGTGTGTGTCAGTCCTGGGTGTGTGTCAGTCCCAGGGTGGGGACAGGAGCCATCCCCTGGTCTCAGCAGTCCTGAACACAGCAGGGCAGCGCCCAGAAGCTCAGCATCAGTCTGTCTGTCCCTCACAACTCCGCGTGGTACTGCTCCATCTGGAAGGCCTCGCTGGGCTGCATGAAGATGCCCTCCATCACCTTCCAGTAGTTATTCTGGCTGGAGGCGGCCATGCCGTGCACCTCCTTCTGCCCGTGGATGGGCCGCCCGTACTGCTCGCCGGTCACCGAGAGGAAGACGTCGGTGGAGGTGTGCTGGAAGCGCACCTCGTCGTCCCGCACCCAGTAGGTCCCGCTGCACACCACTGTCCAGTCGTCCAGGTAGTCGCCCTCGCCGGCCTCCCCGAATGCACTCACCTCCTGGGGGTGAAGAACAGCTCGTTTGGGCCGGGATGAAAAAATTTAAGGGTTGAGGTAGGCAGAGAGACCTGGTTGTGACTGAGGCTCTGGATGGGATTCAGGCACTGGGAGGGAGTGGGGAACAAGGTGGGACTGGCAGGGACCCAGCTGGGACCGGGGAACGAGGCAGTGCTGGTGGGGACCCAGCCTGAGCTGGGGAACAAGGTGAGACTGGTGGGGACATGGGGGACACATCTGGGGCCAGGAATTAGGAAATGCTAAGAGACATACAGGCGATCTGGTTGGGAGAACCTAGGAGACTGACTGGGGAATAAGGTGGGGCTGGCAGTAACATGGGGACGAGGAGAACCCAGGCAGGATGGGCAGGGACAGGAACTGGAAAGGAATGAGGGGACCCGCCAAGAGCCGAGTGACAAGGCTCTTGGTCCCCATCACGCCCAGGGAAGCACACCGAGCCCGGGCAGCCGGTCTGGCGGTCCCCGGGCGGTACCTGGTTGCCGGAGAGCGGCGAGGCGAAGCGGTGGCTGTGCAGGTTGCGGCCGGTGCCCAGGTGCGTGAGGCGGATGGCCTGCCCGCAGCGCACCGGCGTGCCCCGCTGGCACACGGCGGCCGTGCGGCCCCGCACCCGCCAGTAGCTGTTCCCGTCATCCGCCGCCGACACCCCGGTCACCGACTGCTGCCCGCTGCCTGCGGACGGGGGAGAACCACCATCGCACCCAGCTCAGCCCCCCGCGGGAGCCGGGGAGGGGGGCGCGCCCGTTACCGGAGCCGTAGCGCACATCGTGCGAGTGCAGCCGCACGTTGTGCCGCACGTTGAGCAGCTTCACCACGGAGCCGCAGGTGACGGGCCCGGGGTCGCCGCGCCCCGCCGCGCCCAGCGCCGCCGCCAGCAGCGGGAGCAGCAGCCGCAGGAGCGGCAGCGGCCGCCGCGCCGCCTCCATCCCGCAGGAAGCGGAAGCGCGGCCGCTCCGCCCGCCGGGAGGTCGCGGCTCGCCCGCTCCGCCCCCCGCGCTCGCCGCCGCCGCCGCCTCCATTTTCCCTCGGCCCCTCGGGTGAGGCCGCGCCGGGCCCGGCGGGGCGGCGGTGAACGGCGGTCCCTCACCGGGGGAAGGGCGAACCCGCGTTCGTCCCGGCCCGGGCGTCGCACCCGACCCGGCGCCTGAAGGCGGCAGGGACGTGCCCGAGGTTGGTGTCGGGCTGCGCCGCGGGCCCCGCAGCGGGGATGGAGCGGCGGCGGCCGCCCCGGTGCGGCCCCGCTGGTGGCCGAGGGTGTTCCTGCGGCAGCAGGAGCCTCCCGGGGCGGCGGCGGGCAGGTCCGCGGGAGGCCAGGCAGTGTCCGGGGCCGAGGGCGGCTCCCCCGGGGCCGGGAGGTGCCGCAGCCCCCGCCCGCTGCTGCTGCGGCGGGGCCGGGCCGCGGGGCAGCGCTGGCTCGGTGGGCAGAGCTGTGGGTGTGAGGCGGTGGCACGGGGAGCACCGGGATGCTTTTCGCGGAGCGGGGAAAAGGGTCTGACCTTCGTTTCTCACCATGCTGGTGGTTCTGATCTCCCTGCGCTGTAGGTGTGATGCCCGGATCTCTGCTCCGCAGGTGTGATTCCCAGACCTCCGCATTAGGCTTTCTAAACTTCTGTCGACAAAGCCAAGGGCTTGGGAAAGCCCTTTTGGGCTTAATATATGACTAAAAGGTGGCACACCTTTGATTGGTGCTCATAGGGGAGTGAGGTTATTGTGGAGCTTCATAGTCATCTCTGTTGCTTTTTTTTTTTTTTTTTTTTTTTTTTTTTTTTTTTTTTTCTCCTCTCCTGGATATGATGATGTGGAGAAGGGAGGTTACTCCTGAATTATTTAATATAACTAAATTGTGAGGTTGCAGGGACCAGATAACACTGGGTGGGAGTCCTAGTCTGGTACGATGATGTGGAGAAGGAAGGTTGCTCCTAAATTATTTAGGATAGTTAAATTGTGAGGTTGCAGGGACCAGATAACACTGGGTGGGAGTCCTAGTGTGGTGAATGAGATATGGCAGAAGGTGTAAGGAAGGTAACAAACATTGTAAAACTGGCTCAGTGTCACCTCATATTCAAGGAAGAGCAGGTGTCTCTACAATTGTTTCTTTTAAAATGACTTCAACACTCTGTTGTAGCCTAAGAGGGATATTTTGAAATTACTTTAAAGGAGGAGAGAATGAAATAGAAAACATCCTTATGCTGCTGAGTAAATGGTTGGCAGTTTGTGTCCTGGCAGTTCTGGTTAGACCATCCCAAAGAAGGGGAGTGCTAGAATACAGCAGCAGGAGCAGAGCAGGTTTTTGAGCAAGCAAAGCGTTTGTGTCCTCACCTTAGGGGAGAAGCTTGCTGACAGGAGATATGATCCAGGTGCCTGAAGTCGTGGGCAGGTCAGAGAAAGCGAGGAGGGAGCATCAGTTTTCTGTTTCTGACCGGAAATTATGATGCAGCAGGGCTAAAATAAACAGGCGGAAGCGCTCTTTCACACAACGTGCCATTAAATGTGTCACCCTGCCACAGGACGTGCTGCCACCTGATAGCATCGGGGGCGGTGGGACCAGCAGCAGCATCAAAACCAACAAAGCAGGTACGGGAAGTTCCTGAGCTCTGGTGGCTGCCTGGGCTTTCCCATCATTGGTTCTCAGTCATCACTTCCCCCTGTCTTCCTCCCACTGAGCAGGGTGGGAGTGTCAGGTTCAGATGCAGGCTTCAGAAATGTGCAAAACAGCTGTAAAAGCTAAATATAAAATGATGTATTGCTGATGTCAGGGCTGGCGGGCCCCAGTGGCCATCAGAAGTCTGTGTGGATACCAAGAAATGCCTGAGGAGGAGCTCAGTATTGAGGTGCCTGTGAGGGTAGTTTCTCATGGTGTGAGTGCTTGCAGTGCTTCACAGAGATGTTTCTGTTAGGCTCATAAGCTTCAAATCAAAAGATGCCAAAATGATTTTGTCTCAGTTCTGTGGTGGGACACAGCCTGAAGATCATTGCTTAGTTACTGGTGTTAAATCAACCATGGCTTGCTTTTTTTTTTTTTATTTAAGAAAACTGATACTGATTTAACTGAGAAATTCACTGAGAGCTTCAGGGGGTGAAAGAGTGGTGTTATCTTTGCGGTTCATTTGGGTTTTTCCTGGTCAGATATTTGTTGTCAGTCTTGGGCTCCTGTGAATGTGCTAAAATTAATTTAATGAGCATTTAATTGACAAAATTAATCGATTTGGCTTCCTTAGGCTCTGCGTTTTGAGTCAAGTTCCCCAGCTCTCTTATTCTCACGGAGCTTTCTGAATCCTCTGCAGTTTGACCCTTTGAAATGTGGCCATGAGAGCTGATGTTCAGTGGTGGCTTTGGCAGTGTGGTTCCCTGGATCTGTGTGATCTTAAATGGACTGTGAGTTCAATCATGAAGTGGCAGAGGTTAGAGCCATCCCTGCCCAAGCACTCTCCTCTCCAAAAAACCCCACAAAACAAGTGTTAATGTGGGATTGATGTAGTTTCTTCCACAAAGGATGGGGAGAAGTCAAGGGCTGTCTTTGCTGCACCCATGCTGTCCTAGAGCCAAGATGAGCACCTGGCTTTGTTGGTTTGTGTATTCACACTGCTATCCTGAGGTTAATTGCTGAGTAATAAATATGTCTTGCTCTGAGGATGCTGCTTGGTTATTCTGTGAGCACCACTGAGGTCTCCTGCCTTAGGTGACATCCCTATTGTTGGACAGTGTCAGATGTTTCTGCTTTCCCTCACCCCACACCTGTTCAGGTGAAGCTCTTGAGGGACATTTCTATTCCAAATGTCCTGAGTAGCCAGCAGAGAGCTGGATGTGTGAATGATTTCTGAAATCCTCAGGTTCTCACCAAACAGCCCTTGTTCTGAAGGCCCTGTCTCACCTCACAGAGTCTGTGGCTGATGTCCATCTTGGTCCTGCCCTGGTCAGAACTCAATGGTCCCAGTCAGAAGGAGCTTGTGGACTCTGGATCAGTGCCACTGTGCCCTTGAGCTGAGCAAAGTGCAGACACTCCTGATCAAAACAGCTGGGCTGGCCCAACACTCCTTGGTCCAGAGTCTTTAAAGCCTCCTCAGGTCTCTCCCTGTGTAACCACACCAAGTTCTGCCTCTGCACCTCTGCCCACTTCCCTGGCTTGTGTTGTTTCAAATTAAGGCCTCCCTGGCACAGAGGGTGGGAGAAGCACCTTTAATCAATATCTGATTTAATATCTTGCATCTCTTTGCCATGCTAAGTGACATCCCTGCTGTGCATCCCTATAGCTGGGACAGTGTCAAATGTTTCTGCTTTCCCTCACCCCACACCTGTTCAGGTGAAGCTCTTGAGGGACATTTCTATTCCAAATGTCCTGAGTAGCCAGCAGAGAGCTGGATGTGTGAATGATTTCTGAAATCCTCAGGTTCTCACCAAACAGCCCTTGTTCTGAAGGCCCTGTCTCACCTCACAGAGTCTGTGGCTGATGTCCATCTTGGTCCTGCCCTGGTCAGAACTCAATGGTCCCAGTCAGAAGGAGCTTGTGGACTCTGGATCAGTGCCACTGTGCCCTTGAGCTGAGCAAAGTGCAGACATTCCTGATCAAAGCAGCTGGGCTGGCCCAACACTCCTTGGTCCAGAGTCTTTAAACCCTCCTCAGGTCTCTCCCTGTGTGACCACACCAAGTTCTGCCTCTGCACCTCTGCCCACTTCCCTGGCTTGTGTTGTTTCAAATTAAGGCCTCCCTGGCACAGAGGGTGGGAGAAGCACCTTTAATCAATATCTGATTTAATATCTTGCATCTCTTTGCCATGCTAAGTGACATCCCTGCTGTCCTGAGGTGAATTTTCCTGGAGCTGAAAGCACCTTGGTGGTTTGTGGGTGGTTGGCTCGTGTGGAACCTGCTTGGCTGGATCATTAAATAAGATGGTTTTCTCGAGTCCTATTTGTTCCCCATGTCCAGACAAATTTGAATTGACATGGAGTAAAATTGCCAGGAAATTTTAGAGCAAGCGATGAGAAAGGAAGTTGGAATCATGAGTTAAATACTTCACTGGTAGAGAATGGTGAAATTGGATGTGCTTTGACAAGGTGGGTTTGTGTATTGATCGTGGCCAGGAGATAAACAAGGTTATTAGGCTTGGAAGTACTCTAGGAAAAGCCACTCAGCCTGCAGGTTTGTGTATGTTAATATACCCTGGTGAATACCTGGAGCAGGAGGATTGGTGAGAAAGTGTGAAGTTGACAGAATATTCATACACAGGCTGGTAAACATAATCCCTGTTTCTGTGTTGTTCATGATTAATCAGTGCTATTTGCAGCAGGAACACGCATTTAACTGGCATCAGTGCTGCCCTCTGAGGTGGTATTTCTGAGAGGTTGCTTAAATGCAAGTGTTTAACTTCTAAAGTGTCCTCTTGAGGATGGGGATCCCACATGAACCAGAGCAGCCATGTCCTGGCTGGATGCAGAGCAGTAGCCTTGGCCTGTTGTGATTTCTGCTTGTCTGGAGCATCCTGCATAGAAGTTGGCCACAGCCACATATTCTGCAGCCAGGGAGTATGAGCTGCTCTCTCCACTCGTGTCTGAAATCTGGCAGAGGTCTTCCCCTCATCTTTGTTGTGGGTTTTCTTTAAGGAGATATGGATGACACATTCCTTCGGAGCTGCTCGTATTTTAAGACTTAAAAGATCCAAGATCAGCCTTGGACCTTTTAACTCTAACTGAGCACTAAGTCCCTGTTTTTCTCCAAGTCGTTGTGTTTGTGCAGCAGATGTGTGGATCTCGGGGCAGAACAAGAAATCTGCACATGAGAAGTGTCATGGCAAAGCCTTGATCAGGTTGTTCTGTATGGGACTGATTTCCTTCAATGGTTGTTTGCAGTGGGGAAATGATTATGGGAATGTTTTAAAGCATATTTGTTTAGGTATCATTCCCTGCCATGTGGAATTCTTTTCTCATCTTTTTTTCTCCTCTGTTGTTTTTGTGTGTTTGTGTGTTGAATTACATCAGAGGAAGTTTTGGCTTTGGATCTGACACCTCTGAACTGCTTTTTGTACTGCTCCTTCCCAAAGGCCTGTACTTCTTCCTGGGCTGGCGTTTTCATCCTCTCAGCCATTGAGGAGTTGATTTGGTTTTCCTCATAGCTGACTCTTGTAAGGTTCAGTTGTTTTGATGTATGTAAAAAGGAGGTTAAAAAAAA